ATATATTGGCTTGATACTTAGAGAGATTATGAAAGAAATATATATTGATTGAATATAATTAGCATGGGTTAGAAATAGAGTTGCTAAAACTTTTAAAGGCAGAAATAGAGCCTGCTGTTTGAAGGGAAGCAAGACATGAATATATCATAATTGAACCTATTTAGAAAACCTGCCAAATACTTAATGTTACTAGAGTAATTACTGGTTCCTACAGTGCAAGAATGGGATTTTATTTTGATGAATATATGTATTATAATATGGCATGAATTATATTTGGGAAAAGAGTGCATATGTCATTCTGTAATCAGACTTGGGGCCCAATACTTGGATGACTGTATGAAATGTCATGTCCTGCTGGTCAGACTGGATGATTTATTTCACAAGTCTCTTCTGGACTTAAAGCCTCAAAAAAAATTGTCTGAATTGAAACATCCATCTAGGTATGTGATTTTTTTCTAAAACTTCAGTCATGATATAAAGACACAGGGAAAACAATCTGACAGAGCAAAAAAACCCCAAGAAAATTAATTTTCCAACTTCTACAGCCATGTCTATCTGCAGTTTTACTTACATCTACATATATAAGATGTGCATGGCATACATAACCCTGTTTCCAAAGAGTACTAACACCTAATGTAGAAAGTCAGTTATACTACCCGTATTTAATACTAACATGCATTACAACCCTTAGTAATTACTGCCCTGAATGTGATTCTTAGTGTTATTTCAAGTCACAATTTCTTGACAAACAACTAGCTTTCTAATGGAAAAAAACCAGTACATATTTAAAAGTAACATAAGTAACTTTAGAAAAAAATACAAGCCTTATAAAGCCAAAAAAATCCCCCAAAACCCAAAATCAAAAGTCACCAGCAACAAAAAAGCCAAAGTCTTCTGTTTTCTCCGGAATCAGCAATATGACTTAAAGAATATATTACTTATTTAAACAGTGTGAAAAATATTCAAAAAATCTTGAAGTCTAGATTTTTTTCTGGAGACAAAAAAAAGAAATGAAAACATGCAACTGGAAACAAGTACCTTTATTTAAAATAAAATGATTCAAAAGAAATATTAAACATTGCACAACCTGTTCTTTGCAAAAGTGTTCTGAAAGGGAAAGCTGTTCTCTGAAACAGGTCACTGCTAAGATGCTAAAGAACCTAGAGTCCCAAAGAACCAAAAACAAATGTATGATACAATTTCTGAGTTGAATATAGCTGCATATAGTTGAATATATGTCCATACTTCAAGATGGATCTCACTCTTAGGGAATTAATTTATCTCATGTTTTGCTTTAAAAAAAAAAACCAAAAACTGCCAAAACAAGCCTCTGCTAGGTCATTACAATCCTCCTCAGCTTCCAAGGGAGTAGTTTCTCTATGCCAAGAATCAAAGTACTGTGAACCATTTATGACTGGAGACTTCCAGGAAAAAGCATCAGCTTCAATACATATTTACTCAAAAAGCTCCCCAGCAGCTATTTCTACCTTCAAAACAGCATCATCAATAGCTCTCATTCCAGCATGTTTTTTTTAACAAGTGGATTCAGAATTTTCTTTCACAGGTGGAAATTCCCTATCAGAAACACATCATCCTTTTGGCAGAAGTAGTTGTATCTATCACATATGTCCTCACAAATCAGAGTGCTGATACCTCACTTTTGTGTTGAAAATTTTTTCCCATATTTACAGATACAAAACCAGATGACAAAGCAGAAACAGAAATAGCCTTATGTTTTCTAAAATCTATGAACCATTGGGCCAAATGTGTCTGCCAGTATATCACAAGAACTAAAAAAAAATCTTTCTTTGTAGGTTTCATAAAGCATGGAAAATTGAAATGTGTTTAGTTGATGATTTCTCTTTACAGAAGTTGATAGTGTCTAAGAAACCCCAAACAAACAAAAACAACAGCAAGGAAAACCCCAAAACAAAAATTTTACTTTCAGAGAAGTTATTAATCATTCCTTTTCATGAGAACTACTTGAAAACAGCTAAGCCAAAGGTCACTGCCTGGCATCTCATGATTTCTTAGACATATGGCATACGATTCTGACCTTCCCTCCAGCAGTGCCTGGTAATTTAAGAAAGTTAGCAGCAATGGATAAAAAATGGATTCATGTTCTGTATCTATCACTTCTCAACTGCATCTCTAAAGTCTGAAACCCGAAAGTGAATCAGCACACTTGTCCAGAGCTAAAACACAAATAAAATAGCTTATGCTTTAAAGCAAGGTGTTCCACAATGGCATTTCACAAAATAGACCTAATTCCTCAACAACAAAACACAGGCTTCAATTTCTAGTTTGACAGGCACCCTCACCTTGAAAAGCACGTGGTTAAATCATCTGATCGAGTCATTACAATTATGTATATCACTTTACATTTGACATATCAAGCACAATTTTTTGACTCAATAAATTTTTTAACCAAATAAATCTGTTCCTCAAAATAGGACAGCATAGAGATATGTGTACAAACTAAGCACAGCAAACTTCGAGTTTTCTGAATAAATCATTTATGTTTCACATAGAAAATTTAAGTAGAGCAAATACATACAACATTTATTACTACTTCTCTGTGCCTTCCATGTATCCTGCCCTCTCCAAAGACTGAAAACACCTTTTACAGTCATCAGTATCATAAATAACACAGTTTACTCTGTTGCCATCGCTCAAAGACAACGCTGTAGTTATTTCAGAAGTAACACATGAAGTTGCCCCAACTGTTCCTAGACAGTTAAAAAGTGCAAGGAAACCTTTTAACGCCAAGCATCAGCACAGATGAAGAAAATGTAACATACTTGATATGTTGAAACATACCTTAATTATGAACTCAATAATATTTACCTTTATTAGCAGTACTTTTGAATAACTGTATCTGTTTGTATTTCTAAAATTCTAGGTATGTCTTTGGCTACAGTAAATGTGCACACAGAGCAAAATCACATATGACACAGTAAAGCAATTCAATCCCTTCTAAAAAGCAGGGGACTACCCATTTGAACAATCAGATGGTAGCCTTACCTAAAATTTTCCCAACAGAACATTAAATAATGGAAGTATGTCAAAATGTACAGTATTGTGGGGAAAAGAAAAAGCCCAAAAGTAAGTTTGGGTTTTGTTGTGTACTTTTTTATTATTATTTTTATTTCAAATCTTTACTATAAAATAAATTAATATTAGAGTTACAGGACTTTCCCAATAGTGAGTGTGGTTGAACATAAATATGTGCCATTAAGTCAAATTTACTGATGTTACCATTTACTCTGAGAAATACATTCAAATATTTAAAAAAAAAAAATCAAGTCTCATTTTTGAGCTTAATACAGTCTTCCAGCTTCAAGATACAAGGTCTGACTAGAGATACTTGTCAAGAAAGAAGTTCACTTAACAGAACATCTGTAAAATTCTGGTACCTTGCACTGCAATAATTCAAGTCAGCAATAATTAAGTCAGCAATACCTTAGGTTAGCTAGTTAGGCTATTCTTGGTGATAAGAGAATGTAGAACTCCTTTATTACAGGCTCCTTTTTTCTATGGTTCACAGGAATCAGAAATAACTTTGCTAATATTCTACTGCTTAAAATATTTTTCATCTAATGGATTCAGCACCGATTCCCTCTAGTACTCAATTCATTGATTTATGGGGGTGAGAGGTTCATTTGCAAAACAGATGACGAGGCATAAACTAGCAATCATCACAATAACCCAACACTTGAGAAGTACTTCTCACTGTTCCGTGTTGTGATTCACATTCTAACATATATCTTCTACCTGTGTAACTTCCCTGTACATTTTCAACATCACCTAAGGCAATTATTTTCCTATAAAGTAATACAGTAACACAGAATACTAGAAACATTAGTACATGCCCAGGTAACGTTATTATCGTGGAAGAGAATATGCATACCAACATCTAAACCATGGGCACTATCCATATGACACATCATAAATCTCAAGACAAAACTCCATGTTACAACATTTCTTTCTTGCATTCCTCTTTTCAGAACAGAAAATATGACTAAGCTTTACCACCCAAAAGAGAGAACTGGTATACAGTAAAAAACCCCATGAAGAACGATGTCATAATTTTAATAAAATTTCTACTATTCAATAGCTATTATTCCTGTAGTATTACATATCATAAACTGAATTCATGAATTAATTTAACTAAAGGCACAGTGAATGTCATAGGCAGGGAAAGGTCACTACTTTACAATGTGAGCATCAATTGAGACACCTTCATCAAGGAAGGTGACTAAAAGCAGCCATCTCTAATCTCTCTCTTTGGGATACCTGTTGATGCTGTTGAGCCAAATGAGATAGCAACAGAGACCAGTTGGTTGCATGAACTGAAATGTTAACCACCTCCTGAGGTACAAAAAGGTATTAGGCAAAATCTCTGACACTCAGCCCACAAAAATTTACTTTAAAATGTCCAAACCTGTCTTATTAGCTCCAAGCTGAGAATGACTCTGAAAACCATTCTTTTGAAAATTTCTAATAGTTTTTGGTTTAATCATCCAGAGTTGAAAGCCTCTATCACTACCAACTTTGCCCTGAAATAATCTCACATTAAGTTTTACAGTCAAAAAAACCCAAAAACGCGTATATGTTAAATTTTAAAATCCCAGAATTCTTATAAATCCTTTTAAAACTCTAGGATAACACATTTTCTCCACAGCTATTCATTTGCTATAGCTCTTATATGCCATGCCTTTATACTGTAACTCCACGTTCAGACTGCCAACAAGAAAAGGAGAGATATCTGAAAACCGCCATCCACAGTAAAGAGTGAAAGTGGAGAATATTATCAGTAATTAAATAATATTAAATTTATATAGAAGTACACTAACATATGAAGAAATATTTAACATTCTTTGCAATATGCACTTGTAAACTAAAATACTCAGGTACCATCTATGAAACCTTTGTGAAAAAAAAACAAAACAGCAAATCATGTTATTGTTTTCTAGCTTGCAGATGCATCGCTTGCATACCTGTTCTTTGACTGAAGCTAGAATGGCAGAGGTTGTCTCAGTTTCAGAGCCATCGCCATTGGATGTGTTCAACACAGGACTAAGGGAACTTGTCTTGTCAGAAGACGAGGGCTGTTCTGGAACAGGCATAGTTTCTGCAGTTTATGGAAAAATAAAACAATGAATTTGTTATTATAAACCTGATAAATATCAGAAATCATATATATAATAGAATAATAACACTCATTTAAGGAAAAAATGGTAGAATATGCTTCTATTCTGTATTATAGAATATATGGCTTATTTAAAACTAAAACTATTTCTAAATTAATTATATAACAAAATATTAAATTATCTTCCAGTCTTACTCTGAAATATTCACCATCAGTACATTTGGCAAGAATTCAGATAATTTATAGCTGTGATTTTTGTATAGCATTCCAGTGGCAGCATGCAGTATAAAATTACAGTATCATAAAAGTAATGAATCATGAAACGCTTTGCAAAGAGAAAACCAACAAATGATACGAGAGAAATACAAATTATCTAGTGTTGACTTACTAACTCACATGATTATTTAACATGTATTATATTTTAAGCTTAGGTAACTAACAAATCCTTTCTTCTAGTCTAGAAGGTGATTTTGATAACATTTTGTCAGAGTATTTTTCAGAAAAACATCACACCAGTCTCAAAAGCTATTTTTGAGACCTCTTACAAAAAAGAAAGAGAATCTCAGCACTTGAAGGCATTTCTAGCATTTCTTTTTAGAGACCAAAACGGTGCTGTGACTGTGGAATGATTTATCTTTCTGAAGGCTAATTTATAGTGTAGCATCTCTGTTTAAATATCACTACAGGCACATCTCTAGAGGCAGATATCTTGTCACATTCTAGAAGTAAAGGAGCAGAGAGGCAGCTTGCATGGTTATGTGCAGGCACATTAGGATAAAATCACGTTCTTGTGGGAGCTGGCCAGAATTATTCTGTGGAAGAGAAGTGGCCTGCAGGCTGCCAGCTGGATGTTCCTCCTAAAGAGCAGTGGGGATATTCAGAGGGATGTCATCAGAGGGGTCATGTGTGCACAGCTCTCACCATTCACATCAATAGCAAAACTCCTGCCTTGGTGCTATTCTGCTAAAATACAAAATATAACTTTTTCTGGAAGAAGTGAAGTGAGCAGGCTAAAAAGTGTGGGAAAGGGTAGATGATAAAAGCAAATATAAAATTCCATACCCAGATCAAGCATCTCTGCATCAATCTGCCATGGAAATTAGAGCTCTAAAAGAAGGGGAGATGACATTCTATAAAGCTTTGGCTCTGAAGCCACAGTGTTGCCCAAGAACACACATTCAGCCCATCTGGGTAGCCTTTTTTGAAAGCTTTCTGAAGCTCAGGACAGGGGCATACATATGTAAGACAAAAAGATGAAAAAACAGATTACTTATAAAAAAGCCAGTTATTTTTCATAAGAAAAATCTCCCTAAATTTCAGGCCTGAGTAGTTTCTATATTGAAAAATGTTTTTATACATAGTTTCTATTAAAGAAGCTACATATTTTCGTACAGCTAAATTTTTGTAAGCAAATCTCACTGAAAGTGGTAAATACCGAATCTTTGGCTCTAGTAATGTGTTTTCTCCAGATACATCCACTATTTGAAGTTAATCTTTAAAAACTCGGATGATATACTCTCATTCTATCACAAACAGAAGTAGACCATACAAAACTTCTATACAATTCCAACACGCCAGTCTAAAAGGAATTTGAATTACATTTTCTTGTTTTGTTAAACAAAAGTATCAGCTTCTATTATAAGAAGTTAACTAGTTTGTGGCATACAAAAGTAAAGTACCACAGAAAAGACACATAGGCAGACACATATAAACGCTTATTCTTTTACCTTACTTTCAAACAATCTAGTTATTTTATTTTCTTAGTAAATTAATAATTGCAGTATCATAATAGAAATAAAAAAAAAAATTCCTTTTCGTGTGGCTATCTACCTGAAAAAAAACACAAATAGCCTAATAATTGATTTTGTAGCATAATAGCTCATTCTGTAGAGAGATATTTGCAGAAAAGACTGTAGGGTAGCACTCCTTGCTATTAACTCCACAGCCTATAACGTCTGAAAGCACCCATAGGATCCAGGAACATGAGTAAGGACATGTGAAGCAGCCCTACCACACTTGCATACACTCACTCTAGGTGGTGGGATGCCATGCTTCCTAGTCTGGGCAGCTCACTAGGGAGACATGTGGAACTACAACAGCACAAGGCTCAAAGAGCTGCCTCTCCAAGACTGCACTGGGGTGGGAAGAAACACAAGAGCTGTGAATGAGGTGCCTGCTAAATACTTTCAGATGCATTTTCAGAGAGTAGCTCCCCTGGTGCAGGGCTGCTTTCCCTGCAGCGTCGAAGAAGCTTTCTGGAAAAAGCCCCTTTGTCTTCTTAGCTCATCCCCATGCTCCCCCAGGGCTGACTGACCCCCAGCAGGGAGAATCTGCTGAGTCGGCTGTTTCATAAACACTAGCCCAAGAAGGTAAATCCCAAAGTAAACCAGACTGGGAGTCCAGAACTACACAAAATGCTTGCCCTAGCACAAACTCTCCAAAATATTTGACATGCATTTGAGAGAGGCCGCAAGGCTGCATGGTCCATAAGTAAGCTGCTCTGTGACCAAAAAGGTGCTAGTGATACAACAAAAAGAGTTTATGTGAGTTCAAAACAGTTACATCCATGTGATTCAGGCAGCAACTGCCTGTTGCTATTATTAACTTCTTTTAGGACTCCACTCAACTTCAGTAAGTTTTTTTAAACACTTCATTTCCACCAAAAAACACTTCAGTAACTGTTTTACTAATCTACAATTTTGCGCAAGTATCAGTTTATATGGAAAAAAATATCTAATTGCACAATCAGCTGCTGCAATAAGCTGTACTTGCTTCAAATATGCTCAAAATCTGGACAGTAGTTAATATTCTGCAACCACTACAAGTTTTCAGGATTTGTTGTTTTTTGTGGTTTTTTTTTAAATACAGATCTTAAAAGAGGAAAAAAGTCCCCCAATATATAAAAAGGCACACTGCACGTCCTCTTCATATAGAAAAAACACAATAAATGTCTCTGATACTAAAAGGAATGCTTTGTGCCCTTATTAAAATATTTCTTCTGGACAGAGAATGTAATTTCAGTCATCTATCTCATGAATTATTACTGCATTGTTCAATGGGGAAAGATTGCAGCCAATGGCACTTAGCAGGTTAATACCCTTGAATCTACAGTTTGATGTTATCCAGTCGAACTGTTAACATTATACACTTTAAGACTTTTTTATGACATAAATTTGTATGAGAAATGCCATACAGAAAGGAAACACAGAATAAGTTTTCACATGCAACAGAGACACTACTATACTGAAGGTAGTTAGATTTTAAGAAAAAAATCATACAGGAATCAGCAATATGAATCAGTGTTTCAACAGCAAACACCAACACAGTAAAGGATCCCATTTGCACTAGTTCACCTGTTCAGAGATGAGCTTTTAATTTAGCTCAGTCTTCATCATAAGAAATTGGACATTCTCATATTTTAATGGAACTTAAAACTGCCAGTACTGTAGAACTACAAAAAAATAAGGTTGAAATGGACCTATGTGTCCCTAGACCACTACCAAATCTCTAGATAAGGCAGTCTTTTTCCCTGTCATTCTGGACATTTAATACACAGAACCAGTCCTGCACAGCCTCCCTCACTGGAGTCTCCTTTGGGTATCTCACTCTGTTTCACTGGCCTTATCAGTAGAAAACTTGCTTTACTGTTTAACATAATACATTTAAGCTTAGTGTTTCCTGTACTATCCAGCATGGACACAAAAAACTAATTATTCCATCAGTTGTCTTCAAAAAAGCACTATCCCACATACTGATGATGACCACCGTACCTTTCCTTTTGCTCTGACTTCCCTTCCCTAAAAAAGCAACCCCAATTCTTTTCCTTTTCCCTCATAAAATGACTTGGCTCATAGCCTTTTAAACCAGACTCCTGGGAACTTAGCAATAAAAACAATGGGAAAATTAGAGCAAATATGAGAAGAAAAATAAAAGCTAAGCAGCTTAACAGAGTACGCCATAGACAAGAAATTACTAGAAGTCAATCAGCCACATTTAATTTCCACGACAGCAACAGTATTTCCTATCTATGTCGCAAAAACACAGATGAGATTCTGTAAGTCAGAGCATATACATGCTCCTGAGAGAATCAAATTAAAATCTTAGATGATCATAGACAGATGAACAGGGAAAATACTACCGGTCTTTTGGGAACATACTGGGAAGTCAGACATAAATAATTCATGGATTCCTGTACTCCATAGTGCTGGCAAAATTCTGTCTTGATTTCAACCCTTTCTATTTTTTTCCTTTCTTTCTAAGAGCATTTAAAAACTTTATCTCACTTTAATGAAAAAACCAACAACATCACAAAGTCAAACAAAACCATCCCACAGTCTAGGAGAGACCCTCGTGGGGCAGGTGTTTCCCTGCAGCCCGTGGAAGGACCCATGCTGGCACTGGGAAAAGCGTGAGGAGGAAGCTCCTCACCATAAATAAATCCTTAGATGAAACAAAATATTTACATGATTTAAAAATGCATATGAAAATGGCAATGTCAGATGCTGTGGTTTCACTTAAAAGTTTAATTTTGCACACTTTTGCATAGATTATGGGCAGGGATTTACTAAATAGGGAACTAATGAAGTATAGTCATGAAGACGTCATTGGAGAAAACAGGTTGGTGGCAGAGTTCTCCAGTTACATTTTGCCACTCTTTCTCAGATGGGGTAGTTACATCTGCCTTTCAGTGATCTTATTTTCCTCCTCCACATCAGAAATAACTTTCATTCACTAAATCCGTGTAGAACACTGAAAAAAAAATCTAGAACTGAAAAAGTAGCAGCAGCAATGGTAAACGGATTCATTTTCCAACTTAAATTCCATTGTTTCAACACGTTCTTTTACTACCCATGCCTAAAGAAGAAGGGAATATTGCTTAAAGAGGCAGACTTTGATTTTTAAGTATAAGATTGATATTCCTTTAAAAAGTCATTTTGTTAATGCTGTTTACATAGTCTAATGTTATCTCACCCTTTCATGGG